GCCCACAACTTGCAGTGACCCTCCTGCCTTTGTTCCCTGAATCCTGGGTTTACAAGTGTTCATAACAAGCCCGTCAGACTAAAAACTCTGATCCCTAGCTCAGTGGTAGAACACTGCTTAAGATATGCAAAGCCCTGGGTTTAGTTCTTGGCACAGAGAGAATTATTGTGCTCAGTTCCCCATACTAGCAGTCTTTAGCTTTCTATCCTCGGGGAGGCTACTCACCTTGTTCAAGGGCAAGAGGCACACAAATCGAAACCAGAGGTAATGGTGGTGTCTGTGTAACAGGTCTGTTGTAAGGACCATATAAAATAGTCCACAAAAGAAATGAACACGCATTGCCTGATACACAAGAATAAGCAACACATTCATGTGAGTTAGAATTAGAGGCAACAGTAGAAAAAGTAATATTTAGTGTTCAGTTCTCTGGTGGGAACCTATAACTCCAGCGGGTTCACGAGTTCAGTGAGAAGTTTGTAGTCTTCACAGTATTGAAAATATTAAGCTAGTTTAAGATTGGCGTGTGAAAAAGAAGGGGCTTGTACTCTGATGGGTTAGAGCCGAATGCTCTAAACTTGTGTTTGACTGCTCCATGTAAGTTATTATTTGTCATCCGCCAGATGCCAATGGCCCCACAGTCAGAATGAAGGATATTTTTACTGGATGTGTGTGTTTCAAACTGTTTCTACATTAACCTGACTTGATAAACTGAAGGAAGAAAAGATAGGAAATGAAAGACGGTAACACAGTCACAGAATGGTGAAAGTGACCAAATGAGAGTTGAGGGGTGGTTGTTAAAACCCAGAATCTGTGAAAGAATGTGTAGAAAGAAGTAGAAGTAAGATGGTTGTGCCAGATCGTGTCTGTGAGCCCAGCACGCAGAAGGCTGAGGCAGAAGGGTCACTCAGAGGCCAGCCTGGCTTCAGAGTGAGACCCCGCTTTGAGCCAACCAACCAACCATTGGGGAGAAAGAGAAGGGGAGTATTGTGAGAAGGTGGTTCTGAGGTATCAGGATCAACCACCAGGTGAAGCCATGGAAAGGGAGGCTTGGCTCAATGTAAAGAAGTTCCCAGGCCAAGTTTCATGATGCCCCAGGAAGCAAATAAGCCCTCTTCTGCAGGGCAGATCCTGAGCAAGTCATAAGGTCTCTCCCCTCAAGACCATTGAAAGACCATGATAGAGAACTTTGTGTTTGGCTGACTGAAAGCACAGAAGGACAGTAAATTTGGTGTTTTAGCTGAGAAACCTCCAGAGAAGATCTGCCACACACTAACGTGAGAGTTCAGAACAAAATAATGGGCTTTACAAAGATAACAATAACAAACCACAGCGCCTGGACTCCTCAGCCAGGTGCGTGGAACTAAACAGGTCAGACAGAGCATGGCCAAGGACAGAGGAGGGCCGAGGCTCAGGAGCCCTGTGCTTTTAGTTCGCAATGTGGGGGAAGAATGTTCAAGTGGCCTGTGAGACAAGCTGACATGAGGACAGCTGAGGGGTCAGAGAGGGCTGTGACCTCACACACTCAGGAAGTCTGGAAAGGAAGAGACGGGTTGGCAAACTGTTTTGGCAAAGAACCAGGAAATTCACTGCCTCGTGCTCGCAAATGATCCGTGTTTCCTCATAAACCAGGACAGGTCAGGAGCAAGGGAACACCAAGCTGCAGAGTCTCCAGGCTATTTTCCTGGAGGGGGCAAATGGATCCTAGCAGGGGCAAGTTAAGGCAGACAGCTTCCTAAGTGGATACAAATGGGTTACAAATGAGCTCCTAGAACAGGGAGAGTTGACAAGCAACTTGGGGAGGAAAGGTTCGTCTCATCTTAGAGCTCCTAGGTCACTCCATCTTCCTTTCATCTCCTGCATTCTTCTTTCAGTGTTATAAAGCAGGTCAGAGCAGGAACCAGGAACCCAACCGGAGGCTAAGGAGGACTGCTGCTTACTCCCTCAGGCTTACTTAGCCTGTTTTCTTATACATCCCAGTACCCCCTGCCCAAGAATGGCACCACCTACAATGGGCTGGCTCCTTCCATATCGGTCATTCATCAAGAAAATGCCGTACAGCAATCTTTGCAACTATCCTATGGAAGCTCCCCCTTTGGAACTGCCTCTGCCGAAGAGCTAAAAGCCCAGAGATAATGTTACTGAAAAAAAATTATTTTCTCTTTGCTTTTCTTCATCCTTGCCCTTCATCCCGGGGAGTCAGGGTTAGCAAGCTGGGAGGGAATGAGAACCCCACCTTACCCTTCCGTAAGCAGGTGAGCCTACAGACTCTGGAAAAAGGGCAGGAGCCTTCTCTTTAAGTTAAAATTAGAGTTTGGACAGGGGTGGAGCCGTCTAATTCAAAATAAGACTGGTTTGGGTAACTTGAGTAGCTACAGAACTGTCCCTAAAAGTAAACAGGATGCCAGGACCTGCTTGGTTTTGGCAACAGAAAAAAAAAAAAAATCCTTTTCTTTTGTTAAACAAAACTTCAAAGATAAGGGAGCAAAGAGAAACAATTTGATGAGCTCACCAGGAAAGGCAACTTGACGTATTAGTTACTAATAAATGACAAGTATTCTCTGATCAAAATACTTTAATTCCGGCCGGCAGGATAACCCAGTGGGTAAAAACAATAGCCACGCAAGCCTGCCATGGCTGTAGTCCTTGGCCCCACTCCTGAAAACTGCCCTCTGATCCCCATACTCAGGAAGTAGCATATCTCATCACTTTTGTGTGCTATCCCATCCCTTCAGTGTACGCTGTCACATATTGTGTGTGTGTGTGTGTGTGTGTGTGTGTGTGTGTGTGTGTGTACGCTTGCCAAGTCTGTCCTGTGTCTCTGTAGTGTCCTGGATTCGTCTGTTACTGTCCCCAAAACTGTGTTGTTGTAAACATTGGCATGTGCTGAAAGAGCTGCTCCTGACCAGGTGAGTCCCCTATAGGTATCATTGGAATTTAAGAATTGTCCCATGAAATCCAGAGACCCAAATTGTCCATCCCTTCTGTAGCTACTGACATAGGGAGGCATAGACACGTGCTGTGGGAGCAGCTGTTTCTCTTGTATAGGCAATCTTTTTTCATAGCAAAAAATAAAAAATAAAAATCTCCTTCTTCCTGTCAAGGTAGGTAGAGTCTTTTCACCATGTACTTGTTGGACATGTCACAGAAACTCAAATGGCATTGGAGCATGCACTTCATCTAACAAGGCACAGATCTAACTGACTTTGTGCCTTTAGCTCACAGAACAGTGTTTGGAAGTATTAGCTATTCCACAAACGTGTTAAATGAGTTTATAACAACCGTGCATGAGTAATGGAGAATGTATGCGATTTGCTTGTCAAGTTTTTAAAATGCAGATGTAGGTCAAGGCAGACAAAGGCCTCTGCCACCCTTGCCACTCCATCACAAAGAGGTAAGGACAGTAAGAGAAACAAATGTTTGCCAAGATTCAACAGCGAAGGCAAGTGTTAGTGACCAACGCCCAATGCATTGACATCTTCACTCTTCCTACACAGATCAAGAATCAGTCATCTATCATGGTGTGCCTGTGTGTGTGGCACAGGGGAGAAGGGGCAGGCTGAAACAAACAAACAAACAAACAGTTGAACCTTAGACATTTTGCTCAAATCCAGCTGCTCACTTAAGAGAGAAATATTTGGAAACTGAGAAATCCGAATCTATTTTCAAGCAAAGCCTTTTGTTCAACAAGCTCCTGTGTGTGTGTGTGTGTGTGTGTGTGTGTGTGTGTGTGTGTGTGCGCAAGCACAGGTGCATGTATGTTGAGACAAGTCTCATGTCCAGACTTGTCTCTAACACATCATGAAGCTGAGGTTGACCTTGAACTTCTGATTCTCCTTGCTTCCAGCTCCTAAGTGCTAGGATTACAGGCAGTGCCTGGTTAAGAACCAATGCTTTGATACTTCCAAAGTTGACTTGTTTTTCCTTGCTTCTTCCTTCTTCCTCCTCCTCCTCTTCTCCTTCTTGTTCTTCTTCTTCTTGTTTGTTTTCACAGTTTGTCTAAGTAAGTCTCATGTAAACAGGACACATGAGCAAGTAAACAGGATATTCAGTGGCTAGCGTTCCTAGGAAGGCAAAAGGGTAAATGGTAACTAAAACTTTTAATAAACAATACTGCTATGGATTAGCCAAGTACAGCATGTAGCAAGCACAGAAGAATGTTGCAGGGAGACAAACTCCGAAAGAGTCTGGAATGTAATAAATATAAAAACAGAGCCAAAGTACAAATGAGACTAACAGATTGACTCCTTTAGTGACATGAGCCATTCCTCACCCTTGAGAACTAAAGACACAGAGCTTAGTGGTTCAGGGCTTAAAGTCCTAGCTATTGGGAGGCTGAGACAGTGGGATTGCCCAGAGATCAGCCTGAACAAAGAGGGACAGACAGACAGACAGACAGAGAAACAGAATAAAGACCATGTTGTATGGTCTTCATCACACACATGGATTCAGAGAGGAGGGAGGCCTGTCCCTCCTTCACACTAGTAGCCCCCTCTAAGTAGCTTTTATTGCATTCAGTGAATCAAAATAAGACAGGCAATTAAAAGTTACTCAAAAAAAGTAAAAATGGTAGGAATTTATGGCCCGTTTCTGCAGTTATCCCTGTTTTGTTCACGTTGTGCCAGGAAAAACAGTTCTGGAATGAAGCAGGTGGGCTCTGGGTGTGTAGCAGACAGAGAGAAGGGCAGGTCCCAGAGGCGTCAAGGTTCCCGCCATGGGCTTACTGCTGAGAAAAACATGGTAGCAGTTTGAACTCTGAGAGCAAAGAGGGAAAACAACAGAGAGGGTCAGGTGAGGCCTGCGGGAATCAAGCAGCAGACCAGAGCTCCAGTAAGCTTCGTAAGACAACCTGTCCAGGCTTCAGGTCTTGGGGCTTCAGGACTTAAATCTGTGCATCGCTTGGAAGTGGTGCTGTGAGTGCTTTGCAGTAGTAATAATCATCAACGAAGCCAACGAGATACATCAATGTTTTCTCTCTCTCTCTCTCTCTCTTTTTTATTTAGGAAAGCAGGCACTCCCTCTCTCTCCCTGGGAGACCAGCCCCACCCATCATTTCTGCATCTCCGTGGCTGTGCCAGCCTGCTTGCAGTTACCCCGGCCAACCGACCCTCGGGCTGGAGAAAGCTCACAAGAGACCAACACCTTGGGAAGCAGCAACCAAGTCCCCTTTCGGTCTAGTGGATGAAGCCTTCAGACCCAGGAGCATCCAGGAATCTATTGTGGCGAATGTAGTCTCTGCAGCTCGGAGGAAGGTGTTTCCAGGGTCCCAAGAGGACTGGAAAGAGAGGCTGTCCTTTGTCCCTCAAACTCAGAAGACAAACATTAGCTATTCTGAAAGGCAAGAGTACAATGCTCCATCCCCAGTCAACAGCCACGTGTCTACCCACTCCTTATATAGTTCCCAGTTGCCATATGTATGTTATAGGCAGGAGGCCATGGAGACCAGGTCTGAATACTGTCTTCCACTGGGTGATTCCAACTATAACCCACACCCAAGGGGGTGGAGACACCAGCCATGAAAGCTAGGGTGACAGTTGTGTGGATTTTGTTGTTCTTTACTTTTAAAAATAGACCCAAATCCACTTTTAGTCTTGTGTGGCTCTCACAGGTCATTCATCTGAGTGTGCAGGTGTGTAAACACACAAGTGTGGAGCACTTCCTTGTTTGCTGATGTTTAAGGAACTGCTTAGAAGATAGGAGCCACCATAAACAGGGTGTGGAGGCACACCCACCCATAATCTCAGCACTTGTGAGACAAGGCAGAACACCAGGTACTCTTCAGGCATAGTGTTGAGGCCCAGCCTGGGATACATGAAACCCTGCCTCAAAAAAAAAAATTATATTTTTCTTGCACTGATATTCTGGCACTTCCATAGATTCAAAGTCTCAGTTCCATTTGTAAGGAGCTCCATGCAAGTTCCATTCAAGTTCACTCAACTGCAGTGCACCCAAACATTTATCTTCTCCATGCCCTGTTAGAACATGCTGTATAAGTTACCAGGAATTCTAGTAGCGAGGAATATAAAATTCTCTTGTATTGATTTTTAAGTCAGCATACGAAGGAAGGGTTTTCACTTTGCCACGTCTACATGCATGTGCCATTATACTTTGCTCTAATCCACCTGTCACCCCGTTGCCCTTCCCCATGGAACCAGCCTTTCCTGTCACTGATTCCCGTTCTTTCTGTTCAAATAAATTGCTAAGGCAAGCCTGACAAGAGGTAATAATTATACAGAAAAGAAATTCCTTGCTGTTATTTCAAACATTTCCCTAAAACATTTTGGGTGTAGTTCAGATGTTTGAGAAGATGGAAAGAGAAATGTCCTACTTCTGTTTGTGACAGTGCTTTGCTATGTAGCCCAGGCTATCCTCAAACTCATGCAAGCACCCTGTCTCAGCCTATCAAGTGCTGGGATTTCACCGTCGCGTCTGGATGAAATAGGAATGCTCCTCGACAGGAATGTATCAGAGTGAGGTGACTACACCACTGGGATTGGACTGTGGAGGAAACTATGATATGTGGAAAGCACAAACCGTAGGCATTGGATTTATTTCCAATCTACGTAAAGCCAGCAGCCTGAGACAGGAAGACTTAGGTCCAGTTGTTCTCATCTGTCAGATGAGGAGGCCTGATTGTCTAATTGCTTAGGTCCTTAATAATTCTGAAAGTCAAGTGAGTCTCTTGGTAGAAGGACCTTTGATGCTTTGTTTACTGTTGCTCATCACATAACTATCAGATTACATTTTGGAGTGGATGAGGTCATGAGTGCCATGAAATGGCTTCATGAAAGGTCCCAAAAGGAATTTCTAAGTGGCGGGTTTTGTGCTATGTGGAGATAAGGTTGATGTAAAGATAAAAAAATATTAGTGGATTTAAGGAAGTGGTGGATGAATGTGCCTGTTGTTATGCAACTGCTGTTCCTGACTGCTTACTTGGTTACAGAAAACAAGCAAGTGGAGTGTACACGAGGGCGATTCTAGGCTGTTCAGGAGAAGTTAGGAGGCTGACTCACCTCTCCTTAACCCGTGCCTTATAAGCATGGCCACGGAGTGGACCAGGACCTGCTCCTTCCTGCCGTACTCACACAAGAGAACTCAAAGGAGTCCATCCAGATCATCATCGAGTTTATCTAGGATATTTTTTAATTAAAAAAAAAAATCTTGAGTGTTGAAATCACCTTGGCTTTTAAAAACTGATAATTTTGCTTTATTTTCCTTCTCAGCTCTTCCTCTCATCATTATGATGCTATCTTTCACAGAATAAAAATGAACTCTGAGGGTGCAAGTGGTGTTTTACCTTAAAAAGTTTAAAATGATTTTTTTTTTAAAAGAAGTTCCAGTAAGTTCTACAAGTGGCGGGAGTGGCCGGATATTAATCTGTTCAACTATGCACCAAAGAAAAGGATGACTGCTTTCCAAAGTTTGATTGCTAGCTAGGTGTGGGTGCCTTAGGCCTGCAACCCAAGACTCTGAGGGAAGAAGAAAAGGCCAGCCTGAGCTACAAGTGAGACCTGTCTCAGAAAAACAGCAGCAAAAGTTTCACTGTTCACTCATCTAAAACTGATTTTGTGTTAAGTCCCTTAAGTTATTAAATGTAATTATTGACACCCACGAGTTGTTTGTAGAATCTTAAAAGAATAATGTCAGGCCAGGGGAGTCTGATCCTTATTATGTTCAAATGTATCATAGTGTTTGAGTCATGCTACAGTAGGCTACTTTAAGAAGGGGGGGGGGATTTAACAGAAAATATGTTATTTTCTATTCTATTCTGCCACGTTCTTTTCTAAGTGCTAGGCTTTGGCTCCCTGAGTTGATTCACATCACACTATTTGCTAAAACTCTTTAGACTCAAAGGAAGCAGATGCTTTAGATATTGTTTTAAAATGTGCTTGTCCTCAGCTTTACAGGATCAAAGCCAGCATTTGTATTGAGCTATCAGCAAGTATTCTGTGCAACAGAAGGGCTGCACGTTCTGTTCACAAGGGCACAAGTATCTTTATCAGACAGTGATGCTTCAGCAAGTCAAACTGTGTAGATAACTTTGAAAAGCAAATCAGCACCAGGTCCACTGCAGTATTTTCCTCTAGTTGACTAGGAAACAATACAGTTCCATCACTGACATTCAGCCACCCTGAGATCTGGCTCTTCTGGTGGGGAAGATTTTGATAACTGTCGTTTAAACAAGAATAAAATGCGGTGGGTCTCATTTTCTAAACAACAGTGCTTAAACAGAAGAGCTGCGGCTTTTCACCGGCAGCCACACAGTGTTTCACTAAACCTGCTCCAATAGTTGAGCATGCCAGTCAGAGACATTAATTCTGCGTTTCCTCCCATTGAGTCTAACCATCAGATCAATACTTGGAGCAGATGATTTAACTCTTGAATGTGATGGCTGCATAGATTCTAGTCCCTTTGATTTTGAGGTCTTATGACTGGCAGCATCATGCACCTGGGAGAGCATGAGCTTAATCATAAATATGTATGTGTATTAATGACTTAAAACTTTGGATAAAAAAAATCATATCAAGTAGGGACAGTTATAGAAAGGAGGAGTTGCAAGAATGTTTGTTTCCTAAGGAAAGGTAGATTTTTCACACTTAGTTTCCATTCAACATAGAAGTGAGTGCTGCTGGGTTCATACTTTACTACTAAATTGTCATTTATAATTCTCTCTGTCCCCAAAGGCTGTGTGTGAGCTACTCAGACTGAAAATCCAAATGATGTTAGTAATAAATGTAACTTGAAAATCAAGCCGAGAGCCTTTTCATTTCTTTCCATGGATAGACCATTTTGAGTTATTTTCCATTGCGAAGGAGATTTGCCCCTGTGTAGGTTTTATAAATTTCATTTTTCCACAACAGTTTCCAGACACGTTGTAATAATTTAATGCTGCATGGCAACATCTTAACTGTTCTGTTTGTTTGTTCGTTTGTTGTTGTCATTCTGTGACATTTGCTAAAGCACAACAGAGGCTTGACTCAGTATCAGGCCATAATGTGTGACGTGTGGGACTGGATTCTCGAGGGAGGGGAAGAGATGGTATTCAGCTCCAAATGCAGCGTGGTGGGGGTGGCTTACACCCAAGGGACAAGAGGAAGGGAGTGGACGGAGAATAGCTAAGGATAACGTGGGGCATTGAAGAGTCCAGATAAGCGAAGCTGCTGACAGGGCAAGATGGCCAGAAGCCTTCTGGGGAGTGTTGGAAGGGAAGGAGCCTGATTAGATAGCCAATCAGGGCTTATGCTACACCACGGTTGCCATGGTCTTTGCTGAAACCGAGTTTTCCGAGGAAGCATACAGATATACTTAATTCACTTTGTATACTCAATGTGCTGGTTGAACTTTGGACAAGCAAGGACTCTCTACTACTGTAACATTCAAAAACTTCTTTCAAAACTCACTTGAAAATAGTCAGCCTCACACATTAAGAAGCTGGGGTCCAGCCAGGAGCGGTAGCATATACCTGTAATGCCAGAACATTGGAGGCTGAAGCAGGAGAATCACAAGTTCAAGGTCATCCTCGACTATATAGCAAGACCCCGTCTCAGAAGCACAAGCACAGTAAAACAAGAAGTATGGGATCCATGATGTTTACTCTTGTTCTTTTGACATGGTCTAGAATCATAGAGCACAAGCCTCCCGGTACTCCTGTAAGAGATTGGCTACATTGTAGTTAGGCTCTGACCTCATTGCTGAAGGACAGCATTTTCCAGATAGTTTGAGACAGGAAGACCCACCCTAACATCAGGCAGGATTACTCCATGAACTTGAGTCTGGATTTCATATAAAGGAGAAAGCAGCCTGTCACTCCCTGCTTCTTGTCTGTTGAAACACAGAGACCATTAGCTGCCTCGTACTCTCTGTCACCATTACTTCCTTGGTGTGATGGACAGTACCCTCATACTGTGAGAGTGAGGGTCAAAACAAGCCCTTTCCCTTTTCCTCAGGTTACTTTCGTTGTGGTGGTTGTTTTGTTTTGTTTTCATGTATTTTATCAGCATATAAAAAGTAACTAATACAGAATGCAAACTGATTTTTAGATAATATTTTTAATATATTAAAATTAATTCCAAGCATAAACACAGCCAGTACATGAGTGCAAAGCATACTGGTAAATTCTAAAACCACTATGCTATTATTATTTCTCTGACCTTCCCAGTATGGCACTCCAGCATTTCTAATGCTTTCCCCACCTTGGTCTGGCCAAGTCTCACCTACGTGAATCAGAAGCTGTCATTCTATATAGAACTTCCTTAGTAATGGCTTTAACTTTTCCTACGGAATATTAAACAGCTAGAATGTGAGTTTCCCAGTATATCAGTATAACATGGCACAGTTTTTTAAGACTTTATTTTTGTAAATACTAAGTAAAATGACTATTTGGTAGCCTTCTAATAAAAATATTTTTGTGGGTCACTATTTGAAAGCATCCTTCAATAACAAGGTTCTAAAGGTTTTGTGTTTTAAAGGCTCATGTGACATAAGAGAAAATAGTAGGACTGAGAATGTAACTCGGGCATACCAGATGTGTTGATCCCCAGCCCTGGGAGGAGAGAGTCGGAGGGAGACAAGGAGGCAGAAAGCTACCCTGCCTTAAGATATAATTCCTGTGCCAAATGCTCCTTTTCTCTGAGAATTCTGAGGCTTAGCAAGCTATAAGCTTCAAACCCACTAAGATGTAGGTAGTGTCATTTCAATACAGACCCAAAAGGAAGCCCAATGCAAGGGAAACTCAAGCCCCTTTTCCTGGTCTCCCAAGAAGACAGCAACAGAACAAAGCCAAGACGATAGAGTCTCCCCGATCAACGCACGTAGTAGCCAAGTTCTGGGATCTCAATACAATGCCCTCATACAGCAACAGCCTTAGGAAAATCGAAAACTTGGTGATTTTTTTTTTCAGTGTAGTAGAGCAGTGTTTTTCATGAAGCGATGTTTCATTACCTTCAGCCTTATAAACATCTTTCTAGAACAATCCCACAATCTCCTTCCCCCCATAAAAAAACAAGTAATTTCATCACAGTCACTTAAAGATGAAATGAACTCACCATGTCTGGCATATTTTTCTCTCCCTACAGCTTTCTTGAAGATTGGCTTTCTTATACCCTTCTCCTTATCTTTCCTCTCGAACTCTTTCATAAACTTCCCTCCAGCTCTTCTTTTACCAAGAGGCTCACCTGCACAGCTCTTTGTGCTTGAGTTTTTCACTCAAAGTTCTGAAAAGGCTTTGTAC